GTTACAGAGAAGCATAGGCCAAGACCCACACCTGTGGGAAGGCCTGGGGACAGGCAGGAGAATGGTCTGGAGGCTCTTTTGGCCATCTCAGAGACAATTCAGGAGGAATCTGGAAGATGAAGGAGGATAGAGTTATGACTAGACCCCAGGCTCCCTTTGGACTCTTCTCCAGAGCTTCTGGATACTTACCACCAGCCTTGGACACAGCACCGCTGAGCTGACTTTGCTGGGAAGAGACCCTGAAGTCAGGAGGCCAGGGAGGCAGCCCCCTCCCCAGCCTCTGGGTGTGGTTGGTCTCAGCATCCTCCAGCCAGTCTGGCCTCCACTCCCACAGAGGCAGAGAGAAACTTGGGGTCAGGAAGAGATCGTCCCGAGGGGAGGGAGGGGAGGAAGCATCTGATAAGGAAGGCAGATGGTCAGCAGAAGGTCCAACCCTTAGCTTTTAAGGACCCAACTTACAGCAGAAAGCTCAGGACTGGTTTAAGGTACACATACATCACCACCCCTAAAGGTGACCTAGCCTCTCAGCCCATCGGTTCCAGTGGCTGCAGCCCCTGGGTCTGACATATGTGCTTCTTCACAGAACAGTTTGATGTGTTTTCTCCCACTCTTCCTAAATTTAGGAGCCTTGAGTGGCCATTTTCCTGTGTGATGCGTACTTCTGACCTGGGTAGTTTTTGTCCTGTCATTTCCTATAAGCCTCACTGTTTGCCTTGAGGTCAAAAGGTAGAGCAAGGGTAAGGATTCCTCTCTCTCTCTCTCTCTCTCTCTCTCTCTCTCTCTCTCTCTCTCTCTCTCTCTCTCTCTCTCTGTGTATGTGTGTGTGTGGATGAACTTCCAAGGGACCAGTGAGCACCATATCATCCCCTGCTGACACGGAGAGAGACTGAGCCCAGGAATTCCTCATCCGCGCCACGGACACAGGGACAGGCAATCGTGAGGCTTGGGAGCCCAGGGGGATCAAGGAGGCATATGAGATGCCAGTCGGGAGAAGATGGCTGGAGTAGCTCTTCCCAGGACCCACACTGGGGAGGCGGGGGTTTGGGCCACCCAGCTGGATTCCTCCAGGCTTCAGAACTGAACCATTTGTCTTGATCTATGGAGGATCTTGAGCAAGTTAATACCTCTGTCTGACCTAGGGTTTCCTGATTCAGAAAAGAAAGGTAAAGAATATTCCTCCTGGAGTTCTAACAACGCAGTGAAGCACTTCTCCCAGTTCCTGGGATGTATCAATCATTCAGTAAAAACCACCTTCCCCTTTTTTGAGATAAAATCTTTCTGTGTATACAGCTCAGGCTGGCCTGGAATTCATAACTTTCCAGTTTCAGCTTCCCAAATACTGACACGTCAGACACGTGCAACCACACCTCAATAACACTAATTGTTTAAATGACGCTTAGGGTAATGATGAGTAGGGAGCCTTGGTTCTTCCTTAGGGACAAAGGGAGTCCATTCCAAGGGAGGCGGGTGATCCCACATACCAGTGAAGACACAGTCAGCTTCCTTGGGCTCCAGACCAAAACCAAAGCTATCCACAGCCACTGCCAGGGCACGGGCAAAGTGAGCATCTGCGAGGAAGGAGCCATCGGAGGAGCTGACCAGGCTGGCCCTGGCGCTGGGGGCATTGTCTTCAGAAGCTGAGCCCCAGCCATTGGCCAGGGATCCCTCGCTGGGGGTGGGGGTGGGGCAGGGCCGAGGTGGGCACAGTAAGTTGCCAACCTCAGACCCCACCCCGCCACCAGCTCTGCCCATGTCTGCCAGCCCTGAGGATGTTGGGATACTGATATAGCCGTAGGTTGTTGGGGGTGAAGGAGCTCTTGGCACAGGAGATGCACTGTTCCTAAAAGTCAAAAATGGGAGACAGTACATTGGTTAAGACACAGTAGCAGGAACATGGCAACTGAGGCAGGTTTGTGTGCTCCCAGCATGCTTAGCTGGAGCATGTCAGCTCTCCCTGGGTACTCACCTGGGTGTCTCCTCCCCTTCACTGAGCTCCAGGCACAGGGCCACCTCCTCTGGGGTGAGTACACTGTCCTGATCCTCCTCCTCTAAGGATGAAAGTGAGGAGCTGGACATGTTGCTGGAAACCGGACTAGGACAAGAGAGGAAAGAGGTCTGGGGGCTGGCAGGCCTGGGAGAGTTAAGGATGGAGAGAGGGGCTTCTGGCAGTGGGTCAGAGGAGGGAGCTTGGGGCTTCTCCACACACCTGGTTGGGGATGAAACAGACGGCAGATTAGTTAGTGTCATTCCTCAGGTCCATATCTCTTAGCCTTAGTCTGATCCCAGTCATATGCCCAACACCCTCAGTGTCCCAACTCTATTTCCTGACCCATGCCCTCTTACTGGGTCTGTGGATCACGGCTGGGGCTTCCACAAAGAGCGAGGGGTGTCGGAGGGATCGGACAAGTTGCTAGCTCATTCAAGTTGCGTTGAAGCTGTGGTCCCAGGGCATGCCAGGCTACCACAGTTCGGTGGGCTTCTCCTGGGGAACAAGACTTTGGACCTGAGAGCAAAAGAATCTCTAAAATCTCACGAAGTCCAGATCCCAACCTGCTCAGATCCCAATTTACTGCCCAGCCCACTTAGCTACATATACACGTATGCACAAACACACACACACCCCGCAGCAGAACCCTGGACTGGTAGGCCTGAAAACCTGCCTCACCCCTTACTTCTCACTTAGGGATCCTCTCTCACCTGGGTTCTGGGAAAGGTTCTTAGAGGCTCTGCTTCCCACCTCCCAGGTCCAGATTTCCATGGGGTGACTGCCGCGGAGCAGTGGGGAGCTGTTGGCTTGGTGCAGTTCTACAAGGGAAAGACAGCTGTCAGGGACAGAAGGAGTAGGCTTTCCAGACCCCAGGCAGAGGCCCTGTCTTTAGTCTTATTATTCACTCAGTCCTTGGGATCCTGAGTCAAGATAAAAGTCTGTCTGCATCAAGCTTTCTGAACATCAAGTTCATTTATAAGCAACCACTTCAAAGGATGATGTTGAGGATTCAACAAAAACAGATTGTAAAGCTCCTGGCTCCAGACAGATACATCCAAAGACAACTTTCTTTTCCGTGTGTCGTTCCAGTTTTCCTGGTGTCTATTCCCTGGTCTCTAAGCTCCTCTCCTCATCTATTTGTACTATGTGAAGGCAGATACTCCACTTCTTAGAGACGGTCCGTTAACAATTTTCATTTCTCACATCACCTTGACCTAAGATACTTGACTGTGTCTTGACTGGGGAGGTGGGAAGACTGGGTTGGGGGTGAGGTAAAACAGAGCCAAGTGAAAACCTCAACCTCAGGCTGGGAAGAACTGGAAGTTTCTTGAGAAACGGCTGTAGAAATGAAGATGTAGCTCAGTTGTGCTTAGTGTGTGAAGCCCTGAGTTCAAGCTCCAGCATCAAAAGGGGGAAAAGGAAGGAAGGAGGGAGGGAAAGAGAGAGGAAGGAAGGAAAGAAATCAATGGCTGTAGAAAAAAACTCATCTTTTTCTAGAATTGTTAACGTTCCAAGAGAGATCGTGTACATTTTACTGAAGTCATTGCGGCCCTCCACACAAAAACAGTTTTGTTTGCTTGTTTGTTTTGAGGATTGAATCCAGGGCCCAGTGCATGCTAACTGAAGGATTTACCCCTGAGTTTATGACCCCTAAATGAGACTTCCCAACTCTTTTTAGCAGGCATTTCATTACCACTCATGATTAACAATGCAATGGCCCGGAGCAAAATGGGGAAGAAGGCCAGCTTATTAATATTTACAGTCACATAAAACTGTCCATACTAAACAAACTCTTAATTACTCCTAATCCACCCTTGCTTTTTTTTTTAACTGAAGTTGGATTTTATCTGCTTAAAAAAATTGACTGTGAAAACATCTGCCAAGTCTCTCTAAGCCATTCAGGAAGTCCGTAACCATGCAGGCAGAGCGCAGTGCCATGCTCTGCAGGCAGCAGCTGGGAAGACAGTCCCCAAAGCAGGGGCCTCCCTAAGTGGTTCCCGGGAACCCAGTGGCTTTTGGAGACAGATCACCCTGGCTTCAGAGTTGAGCTCGGCAGCTTATTTTGGAAGTTTGAGCGAGTTACTCAATCATTCTGTCAATTGTTTTCTCTCTGTAAATCTAGAGAAACTGTGTCCACCTCGAGGATCAAACATAAGAACAAATATAAGTAAAGCAGCTAGTGCGTAGTCGTTGTTTGAAAAAAAAGGAGATTATAATCGTCTCCTCCTGGAACATTAAAACAGGCAGCTGGAAGTAAAGAGATAAATCCATCCCAGAAGTATTGTAGGCATCTCTTCACATTACAGGGGACTAGGTCCAGCATCCCTCTGGATGGTTGAGTTTGTGAGTACAGGGACCGTGGATACACACGCTTCTCTCTGAGTGAGAGTCAGGGCCCAAGCAGACAAGTGTATAAAGTGCGGGGCACTTGAGTTCTGGAAAACCTGAGTTTTTTTCCAGCACTGGCTGCCTTAGGCCAGGCTCCAGCTATACTTGTTTGTTGGTCAGCAAGGATGGGGTTTGTAAGAGGGATACCGGTGTGCCCAGTGTCTCCTGTGTCTACCATGCCTTCCTGGCATGCAATGGTGCTTGTTAAATGGACTAGAGTCAAGGCTCACTACCTTAGAGAAAAACTGTGATGAGCATACACCCAGATGAGTGCTCTGTGGATAGAGATAGAGATCTGTGTCCACTGGGAGATAATGGGAGGTTAGGGGTGATACTCAGCCCATACCTGACCTGATTAAGGTCAGTGGACCACATTACCACTCCTAGTCCCAGCACCGTCTGCCCCCGAACATGATTTTTCCCACCACCCTTACCTTGCTTCTTTTTGGCTTTCCAAACCTCTGCAGGAGCCAGAGACATGCGTGGGGAATAGAGACCCCTACGGCTGCAGAGACTATCTGAGCTGGCCCAGGGGCTGGAGTTTCCAGCCAACTTGGACGGAAGGCGCCTAGCAGCTGGCGTCTGGGGGCTTGGCCGGACTTGAGGGCTGGAGGGCTGCTCTGCAATGAGGGAGCCATAAAAAGTGCTGGTGTCTGGAAGCAGGGGCACACCAGGGCTCCGGGGATCCCAGGAGATCACTGTCATAAAAACGACAAGACGAGTTATGGTGAGCACATTGCACCCCGTCTCCCCTTTCCATCCCCGAGGTCCCTTCGCAGGAGGCATAGTCACAGGAGCGCCTGCCGTCCAGTGGGTCCCGAGGGTCCACTCCCAGCCTACTACTGAGGCTGCTACTGCTGCTCAGGTCTCGAGAGCCAGAGGTCGAGCGCCAGGTGTCTGCCAGCCATGGGGAGTCACTGTGGTCCATCCTGGGGTAGTGGGCGGGGCAAGGCAGGGAAGAATAGGAACCAAATTAGTTAAGCTGCCCAGCTCAGAGGGCGGCAGCAGGAGTAGACAGTAGTGTTTGCTTCACCCTTACAACTATCTTTCATTATTTTGCAGTTGCAACCCCCCCTCCCGCACCCCCGGACCTCTGCCCCTGAACTCAGCGTATCTATCTCGGGATCAGGGAAAGGTAAGCTGTCCAGAGGATGGGGTATTAGGGGAAAGACAGTAAAGGATACCGAGATGAAAAGAACAAAACGGAGCCAAGCAAACATGGATTGAAAATCCCCACCTGCTATAGTTTAGCTGTACAACCCAGGGAATAAATTAGTCTCTCCAAGCCGCGCTGTTAAATGGCAACAGAGAGAGCCTCCACACAAGACTGGTGCTGTCAATTGAGCTGAGGAGATTCTAAATCTCTGCTGGCAGGATAGAAGCTTGCTGAGGTGAATGGTGGCTTCCAGCTGCCCGAATAATGCGTCAAGAGCAGCAGGAGCTGCAGCTTCATCAAGAGCAGCAAGAGCAGCAGCTTGGTAGAACTGCTTCTCCGTCCAGAGCCTGCTCCCAAGATCAGAGTTCAGATGCGAACCATGGCATCTTCCTCGGCCTGGCTTGTAGCTTTCTAATCTTATCCTTGTTCTGAAGCCACACAGCCAAGCCAGAACAATGGTTTACATCTCCCTGTGAATATAGCAAGCTATTTCTCCCACTCCACACTCTTCTTCATGGGGCAGAGGGTGTGGGATCCTCTTTCTTTCGTTTCTCTGCAGGTGGCTCTCCTGCCTGTCCCTGCCTGTTTGCAAGTTCCTGGTGGGTGAAGACTATCCCAAAGGAATAGATGAACTATCTGGATACAATTTCCCCTGACGACAAAGGAAGTGATCCAGGCAAGCAGAGCAGAGCAAAGTTCAGGAGGCAGGAGGCAGCTGGAAGAGAGAAACCAGAGAAAAGAAAAACAAAACAAAACAAACAAAAAAACAAAACAAAACAAAAAACCTCAGAACATGATGGCAGGCAGCCTGGAACCTTGTTGAAAGGAAACATGCAGGCCATGGGACTGATGTATCCAGTACACAGTAAGTACTCAATCAACGCTTCTCAATTCAGACCCAGAGCGTAAAGTCTAATGAAGTTGACAGAAGAAATGTTTTTTTGTTTTTTGTTTTTTGTTTTTTGTGTGTGTAAAACTCAGCCAGTGGTGTGTGTGGAATGGGGCTCACAGAAAGAATGTTTTTGCTGTTGTTGTTTGTTTTGCTTTCTTGGATTTTTGTCTCATGGCTACAGACTAGCGCTGGTAATGAAGCAGTTGGAACAGAGGTACCTATTGTTTGGCTCTGGTTTGGGACAATGAGTAACAATCAATGATGTCCTAGGGGCTGATCGCCCCCTGCTGGAAGTGTGCAGCATGTGCAAGACAGGTAGATGCTCAAGAGGCAGAAGAGGCAGGCAACACACAGAATGCAAAGACACCATCAGGTCGATGATGGGGACGCAGAGGAATCTAGACGCTAGAGCTGGTTGTCTCTTGCCAGCTCCTAGTCACTTAAGAGCAGGAGTAGAGAGAGCAGGTGACAAGAACAACAGATAGGTGGTCAGAGGCCAGCTGTGAAGCTTTTGGCAAAAACATTTAGGTTTTATGATTCAGGTTGCTCGGCTGTCAAGAGGCTACATTGAAAGACATTCGATGTCACACAGAGTCCAGGTGGGCTTCTGGTACTAGGATCCTAAATTTCCTGGCAGGAGGGTAGACTAAACTCCAATCTTTCTCTGCCGAGACTCACCCTGCTCTTCCTAAGGATTCCCCTTTGGCCTCTCACCTGTGTTTTAAGATGGCATCCTCACTGGTGTATCTGTACAGACCTGGAAGAAAATGGGGGAAGAGCTAAATGAAGATCCCAGGGTCTCCCTAGAGATCGAAGTCCCTGTGGTATTCTGGCTGGGCCCAGGGAGACCTATACACACGGGCTCTCCTCTCTCACCTGGGCCCAGGTGAACCCCAGCTTTACGCCGTCTATAGATGCACACAGCAATGCCTAGTAGCAGAAGCCAGAGCAGGACAGCACAACTGGCAATGACTTCTGGCCGTCTTAAGATGGCCCTCAGCTGATCCAGGGTCCAGGAAGCATGTTTACTGGGGTCTCGGGCCGTCTGCTCCATGGCCTGCTCTGTATGGGAGGGGGAGCTCAGAGAGAGAGCAAATGGGACAGCGGGAGAGCAACAGACAAGAGGGAGGAGCTGGAAGTGTAGCAGGAGCAGGGAGACAGGAGGATGGCATGGGGGCTGAAGGATATGGATAGGGCCTGGCTCTCACCTAAAAGGACGCAGACAGGGCTACTGGGCTCTCCAGCCCCAGCCCCAGTGACTGCAGCTACTTGCACACAGTAAGAGCCTGGCACGCGAGTGGAGATCTCCAGCTGGGTCTGTTCACCCACTACAGTCCAGTTGGCAGCGGGCAATGAGGCATTGCCCAGGTTCCACACCTGGGCACAAGCGAAGGTGAGCAGCTGCCCCAGTACATCCCAGCAGAGCCCTTTCGTCCACAGATGGCCATGCGGTCCTCCTAAGCCTGACGTCTTCCTGGAGGATGCCCAACGACACAGCAGCACAGCACCTATTCTCCCTCCTCTACCAAGTGAGAGACCTCTCTAGACAACAGCAGGGCAAAGGTAATCTGCCAAAATGCACCCAGGACCAGTGGTTCAGGGTGTTTTCGAGTCACCTAAAGGCTTGCTAAAATAGAGGTACCAAGCTCAGTTTTTACTTTCTGATTCAGGGGACCTGGGGAAGGACCTGGCAGTCTGGCTTCCTATCCAGTTCCTAAGTGATCTATCTCTTGCCAGTCCAGCACCCACATTTTGAGCACTCGTGTCTTAAAGACATAGGTCTGACCCAGCCTAAGTTTTGGTTTGATCAAATCAGCCCAGTGTTTGGTGTCTGTTCTGTTTCTTCTGTCTATGCCCATAATCTGGCTTTTCACGTATAAATTGGAGATAATAGCCCAAGGCCTTTGGTGAGATGAAATGAGACAGTAGGTTATAAAATGCTTGGCAGGGCCTGACGGGTCAAGTAGGCCCTTGTACGTGTGCCTAACAAAAGCAAAATCTCCCCACTTTTTGGCCCACATGCTGCTTTGTAGTGGCCAAAGCAAGGATGTGCGGGACTCCAGGGGAGAGGAGTCTGCTGGTCAGTGTCAAGTGTAGGGACTACCTGGTAGCCACGGATGACACCATTGTGGTTTTCAGCAGGCGGTGGAGCCCAAGTCACAAGGACGCTGCTGTTGCCCGGTTTTAGGGTCACTTCTTGAGGTGGGGCACTGGGCGCTGGAGAAAAGGAAGAGGTTGTTATGTGAAAAGAGAGGACTCTGTGACAGGCTCAAGAGAGGGGCGGGGGGATGGAGAGTCGGAGTTCCACAAGGGACTTCTTACAGCTGTTTGCTTCGCCATGCAGAAGAGAACAGCGTGTCCAGGCTGGACTGGGATAAATAAGGAACCCCCTCTACACACACACACACACACACACACACACACACACACACACACACACACACACATCAAGTTCCTTCCCTGACCTTGTTCTGGCAGCCTCAGGAGCAACACATTGCTGTCAGGGCCTCGAGCCCGGCCTGTGGATGGTCTCACTTTGAATTCGTAGTCTTGGCCCCAGCGGAGGCCTCCAAGCTTTGCACTCTGAGAACCACCCAGCAGCACCTCTGTCCATGGAGATGTTTGGTCCCTGGGGGCCCTCTGGGCCCTGAACAAGGCCGTGTATGACTCAGCAGGTGCAGCAGGTCCGCTCACCTGGGAAGAAGTTAGAGTAAGGATAAGGGCTTGGGGAGTTCCTGACAGCCCTCATCTGAACTCTGGACGGGCTCTCACTTCCCGGGCCCTCTGCCTCACCTTCCAACTGAGCCACACTGTTGGTCCAGGCTTGGGGCCTTTCACAGGGTCCGGGTTCAACAGGGTCACATTTTCCAGCTGAATACGAACAGCCAGAAGTTCCAGATAGTCCTTGAGGTCTCGTGACTCTGTGGGGGAACACAGCGGTAGGATGGAGGAGTGGGGCATACCTTCATCATGGACGAACTTGTCTCCTAGAGTTTTCAGGTCTGGAGTACTCCTGTGTCTGTGTCCATTCTAGCCTCACACAGGGAGGCCTCACCACTTGGACCACGATCCCAGGCTGAGCCCCGCATACCAGAACCCCCACACCTGGCTACCACACTCACTGGAGTCTCCCATCTTACCTTGAACTTTGTGGGCTTATGTTCATATGTGTGCATGTAGATGAGTATGAATATGGAAGTCAAAAGTGCCTTTATTATTATTGCTCGCCTTCTTTCTTTCCTTTTTTTTTTTTTTTTTTTTTTTTTTTTTGAGACAAGATCTCTCACGGAACCTGGAACTCACTGTGTAGACTGGAGTGGCTGGCTGGCTTCTGGAACCTACCGGTTTCCACTCCACCCCAGTACTGGGATTCTAGACACACACTTCCATGTTCAACTTTTCTGTGGGTGCTGGAGAGCTGAACACGAGTCCTCCCATATGTGAAGCAAGCACCAACTTATCTCATGAGCACTTACGTTGCATTTTAGCTGACTCCTGCTCTTACCCTGAACAGACACCCTGGCTGCCCGGCTCTCCCGTTGTCCCGCGTTGTTGGTGGCCATGCACATATAGGTCCCCGTGTCGTTCTTCTCTGCTCTTGCCACCATCAGGGAATCTCCAGACACCTGTCAGTTCAAATACTCTGTGAAGTCTTCGGTATGAGAAGCTTAGCAGTTGGAGGGCAGCTTGAGGTCCCATTGCCCTCCCTTCTCAGATCTGCCAGGGGACATGCCACTGGAGGGCAGATCAGTTGCTTGGTGTGCCCAGAACGTGATGGAGTATGGGAGTTCCCGAGAAAGGGGCTCCACTTACGGTGTGCCTCCCCGGCTGGAGGACCAGGGCTTTCCCATCTTTCCACCATGAGACTGAGGGCTTCGGGTAGCCCCAGGGTGGCCCACACTCAAGAACCAACCGCTGGCCCACCGTGGCCACTGTGTCCCGAGGCTGGATCTGGAAATCCTCCTGGAGGACTGTTAGGAGGACATCAGGTCAACAGGAAGTATGTCTACCCTCCCATGAGTCCCTCTTTGGCATGTCTTTTGTTTGTTTGTTTTTTTGAGACAGGTTTTCTCTGTACTGTTTTGGAGGCTGTCCTGGAACTCGCTCTGTCGACCAGGCTGGCCTCTAACTCACAGAGATCGGCCTGCCTCTGCCTCTCAAGTGCCGGGATTAAAGGCGTGCGCCACCACTGCCCGGCAGCCTCTTTGGCATCTCTTCGCAGGCTAGCCCCATTCTGCTATACCTATTTCCGTGGCCTTCTATGTCCAACTTCACCTAGTTCTGCCTCCCGAGACCCCCAGCCCAGTCCTCCCTTTACAGATAGCCCCTCATATTTCCCTGGACACAAGCATCTCAGCCTAGCTTTGCTTCACCCTGGGCCTACCCTCCCAAGCCTCACCAGCCACAGACAGCCTAGCACCCCGGCTCACTGCTGTGCCCAGCCGGTTGCTGGCCTCACAGGTGTAGACACCCAGGATGGCTGAGAGGATGTTCTGATCATCTTGGGGCCGTCCCTGGGAAGGAGGCCGATGTAGCAGGAGGGTCCCATCAGGCAGAAGGTAATGTAGGTCTGGGGTCGCCATGCTGAGGGGCTGCCCATTCAGCAGCCAGCGGATAGTGGGAGGAGGTTGGCCCGAGGCTCTGCAGCTCATCCTGGCTGGGTCAGAGCCCTGAAGCAGCTGGTCCTGGGGGTGAACTAGGATCTGGGGCGGAGAATCCAGAGCCTTGCCTCCTAGGAGGGAAAGAGAGACTCCCTGCACTGCACCCCTTCCGTGTGTTGTGTAGGCGCCTGCCAGATGGCTTAGATTATAAACGTCAATTTCCAAAAAGCTAGCTGGGAAAGGAGAGGGTCAGCGTTCACAGGCCAGGGGCTGCATAGCCCTTTCTGTCTCTGTCACACACACCCACACCCCACCACCACCGCCATTGTCTCTGGTACCGCCACTGCTAATGAAAAGTTAAGACCCTGGAGATCCCGCTGACCTCGGATCCAGGTCGTGGATCAGATAGGGACATGAATCCAGGAGCCGGGGCTAGTCGAGCGAGGGCCCAAACTCACCCATGATGAGAAGGAGCAGGAGGGACAGAGGCCACCTAGTCTCCAGGGGGCCCACTCCTCCAGAGCCCATGGCTTCTCTCAGCTACTCTCCTTGTCCCACACACTGTCCCCACTGCTCTGAGTGCACAGCAGTAAGGGAAGAAGGGGCGGGGTGCAGTGGTGGTAGTTGTTTGTGACTGAGACTCTGTCCCAGTAGGGAAGCAGCTTTGAGGAAACGGATGCTTCCTGCCTGGCCCTCGGTGCCTTAGAGAGCTGGGAGGAGACCAGAGGTGAGAAATTCTCCGACCTCTACACTTTAACTATAACCCTGGACACTAACTCCTGCCCTCCAGTTTATTTCACGTCCAAGTCAGGGCTTCTTAAATGAAATCCTCACATTGACCATAAGTGTACTCACAAGCTCGGTCCTCCAGCCCCACAGCTCTATTTGAAGCTTTGCTGACATCTTGGTCTCTCTCCTTTTCCGTTAGACAGCCGTAATAAAGGGAGATAAGGACCTGAGGTGGAGACTCAGACACAGGAGAGAGGAGCTGAAGATAAGTTCAAAGGGGCCACAGGCAAGAAATCAAAGAGGAAGGGGAGTAGTGTGTACCCTTGATCTATTCCCTAAGAACAGATAGACTGGGCCTCAGGGGACTAGAACATAGGAAGGAATGACTCAGAACCTTGGAAATCAGCTGTGAAAAACCTATGGACTGTGTCCACACAGATTTTCAAACAGCTTGAAAATTAGGTCTATGGGGTCTTGGGTAGATTCCTTCATCCTCAAAGTCAGTTTCCTTCTCTGTAGAATGGGAATATCAATAATAGAGGCCACCTTGAGATCCAGAGTAAAAATGGAATGAGATTATACATAAAACTACTTAACGCTGACAGTGCTTGACACATGAGTGACAGTCCTTTTGGTTCATTTTATGCATATCCCGTCACCGAAGCTATTTGAGGCATCTTCAGTGGGGATGATTTTCAGACATTGGGAAGACGGTCGGAATGAAGCCTTCTCAGCGTCTTCCATGTCTACATAAGCAAACAAGCTTTGTGGCACCCAGCTGACTACATCAACCCCTCCCTAAATCCCAGAGAGGTTGTTCCCTTTCCAGCCCAACTCCTGTTTACCAGTCTCTTCCTTCCAAATCTGGAATCTCAGCCATTTCCTAGAGCTGTTCAGGGAAGGCCAAGGCCAGGCTCTGGGCCTCAGCGGAAGAGAGTGCAGGCTTTGTTCTCAATTGTTCTGGCCAGCTTCTCTGGAGGCCTCTAACACGGCTGACCCTTCTCCCTTCCTCCCCCTCCCTATCAAGCTTCAGGGTCAGTCTCAGCCCTAACAACTGACAAAGTAGAAGGCTGCCCTCTCTTTTCACCTTTCTCTCCTCAGACAGACCAAGACTGATTAAGACAGAATCCATGAAAGAAAACTGTCTCAACAAACTGACTGATTACTGAATGGAGAGGGTAGGAATTGGGCTCAGAATAGAGCCTGAGATTTTGGGAACGGAAGCACAGAGGGTATGGTGACACATGGCTGAAATCCTGGCATACAGAGGATCGTGAATTTGAGTCCAGTCCAGCCTGGACCCTGACTCAAAA